TGTGAAGAACATCCCAGTAAAATAACAACAGAAGATTAAATCACACAATGAATAACCATTGTAAAAATGGTTGGACCAAATTACCACCTATACATATTAACCTTGAATGCAAATGACTTAAACTCAATAATGAAATGTTTGCTAGTGGAATGGATGAAAAAGCAAAACCAATCTATCTGTTGCTTACCAGAGACACATCTCACCAACTAAGAGTAGTAGAAACTATCTGATGAATTTCAATGATTTTATATTTATTTTCATTTCTTGAAAACTTTTTTCAAAATGTTTACTTACTGATAAATCATACAGTAGCATCATTTTCTTCAAGAAGGTTCTTGATTTTCTTTTTTACTTCTGCAGAGAAACCTTAGTAATTCAGTATAGCGTTATTTAACTTGATGGCATTATAAATTTCTGTCTTTTTCTGCATTGTTGATTTTGTTCCATGACTTTTCATTGAACAGGATGTATAGTAACTGTGTAATGGAGGTGATCATATCCAAATGTGAGGACACAATGCAATGTGCATCTTTACTTCCAGATAAAAGATGGACGCCCAATAAAAATGCAAATATGTGTTGACAATAGGATGCTGAACTCTCTACCGCTGTATATTCCTTCAGTGATGGACTTATGACAGTTTGTTAAAATTCAAAATAATCCATATAACATAAAACTAACCATTTGAAGATACATAATTTGGTGGGTTTAAGCATATTCATAATTTTGAAAGGTAGCTTTGGTGTATTTGCATAATAGAAATGTTCTAGCTTTAGTTTGGTAATGATATTAGGCCTCAGTAGCATAGAGGGTTGCAGCTGTAGGATAGATTTATAGAATTTGTTAAAACAATCAAGCTTGCTTTGTAAGCCTTTCACTACTTGTTATCCTGTAAACTTTGCCAGGTGATTGTAACCACCGGCTGCTCTGGAGCCTCCATTGCTGGAATTGTGTTACTCTTGCTGATACCACTCTCCCCTGTCCCATTTCGACCTGGTAACATCCACTCTTGTTGCCCTTCTCTCACTCTGTCTTTGGCACACTCTTAGCTTTAAATTGTATCTCCAAAGTTTCTCAACCAATGGGAAATTAGAGGAAGGAATCTGTACAAGATAAGGAAGAAAAGGAGATGAGGGTGCATACATCTACATCTTGGTCACCACTTTCTTTTTTTAAGATTTATTAATTTTTAAAACAAACTCAGATATACAGAGAGGAGGAGAGAAAGAGAGGAAGATCTTCCATCCGATGATTCACTCCCCAAGTGAGTGCAACGGCCAATGCTGCGCCAATCCAAAGCCAGGAGCCAGGAAACTCCTCCAGGTCTCCCACATGATTGCAGGGTCCCAAGGCTTTGGGCCATCCTCGACTGCTTTTCCAGGCCACAAGCAGAGAGCTGGTTGGGAAGCGGGGCTGCCGTGATTAGAACCGGAGCCATATGGGATTCTAGCGCTTTCAAGGCAAGAACTTGTATAACATTTCCAGGATTCTAAAAATGTAACCTTATTTTAGCAGTCATTCTCAACTCCCCTATACACTCTCTTGGGAAATTATGAATGCATCTGATGAATAAGTATCCTACAGAATGTTCTATTTGTTTCAGGAGAGTATGCATTTTCCTTTTAGAAGACAAAAAAAAAATTCACAATTTGCAAGTCTGTATAGCTATAACGTTGTTCCTTTTTTCTGTTTTCTTTCAATACTTGTTGCATCCATTATCAAAAATGTGTCCTTTATCCATTGCTGATTTTTTTCTGTTTTTTTTTTTTCTGCCTTCATTTTTGTCATTGTTTGCTTCATTCATCTTGGTGTTCTTACTACAGTTAAATAAAAACTTAAGTTGGCATACTTGTCAGATTATTTCCTCATTATGTATTTTGTTGTTTATATTAACATTTTTGCCTTAAATGTCTTGCATAATAATAGAGTCTGTTCCCATTTTTTATGGGTTAATGATTGTGTGGGAAATCTTCCATTCAGTTTCTATGCATCCCTTTAATATAACCAGTTAGTAAGGAGTGAAGCTCTCCATTCAACTTTTCCATTTAGATTTCGCATTTGTCAGGAAACAGTATTCTCTTAGTAGTAGAGAATTCTTGTATTGTTCTTCATTTTTTTCTACTATTACAAAAGGAATTATAATGAATTCCTGATGTATGATTGTAGTGATCAATTATATTTGTTGAATAAATCTTACATTTGGAGAGCTGAAGTAGTCTGTCTCATAATGAGCTGATTTTTTTTTTTTAACTTTATACTACAGGGCCCGGCACCATGGCCTAGCGGCCAAAAGTCAGCAACTTCAATACGCCAGGATCCCATATGGACGCTGGTTCTAATCCTGGCCACTCCACTTCCCATCCTGCTCCCTGCTTGTGGCCTGGAAAAGCAGTCCAGGAAGACCCAAGGCTTTGGGACCCTGTACCCACGTGGGAGATCCGGAAGAAGTTCCTGGCTCCTGGCTTCGGATTGGCATAGCATTGGCCGTTGCGCTCACTTGGGGAGTGAATCATCGGCTGGAAGATCTTCCTCTCTGTCTCTCCCGTTCTCTGTATATCTGACCTTCTAATAAATAAATAAATCTTTAAAAAATTATAGTACAATTCCATAAGGCCTGAGATTTCCCACCCGCATATTCCCACCGTCCAACTGATTTTCCACATTTTATTACAATAGTGTAGACCTTTATAAGGAGTCATGATTCCATCAGCCCATTATTTAAGTGTGCCCTGACATTGCTGGTTAAGATAATGTCAGAGAGTGCAGCACCCCATTGTCTAGATATGTCCAACAGTTTCTTTGGGAGTCCAATTTGGAATTAGGGATGCATTTTGCATTGAATCTTTACATCTGGATATTGTAGTTTCTGTCAAGCCATCACTATACACTCCTTTAAATGAGAAGCCGTTTAAAAAGTAAAAAACAGCAAGAACAACAAAAAAAAGAGTAGAGCACCATGGAGTCAAAAAAGCATGCCATCGAATAATCAACGCATGGGTGATGAAAAGAAAGCACAAAAGTCTCTTTGCTGAAATGATGCTACTATGTGATGCATGAGCCAGTGTGAATTCAAAATTTGCATGATTTCTTCCTAATATTCCAGAGAGCATATTTTATCTGTCCTATTGGAATTGATTTATTTCATTGAACATAATGATCTCTAGTTGGGACCATTGAGTTGAAACCGGTATAAATTCATTCTTTTTAATGGCTGAGTAATGTTCCAAGAAGTAGATGTACCAATTTCTTTAACCACTCCTCTTTGGATGGACATCTGGATTGTTTCCTTGTCTTTGCTATTGTATATTGTGCTGCTATAAATTCGGGATTACAGAACCACTTCAAATATGCAGTTTTCATTTCTTTGGGTATATTCTTAGGAGCATGAAAGCTAGATCATATGGCATGTTTATTTTCAATTTTTTTAAGCACTCTCCAAACTGATTTACATAGTGGTTGTACTAGCCCAGAGTCTCGCCAGCAGTGAATGAGGGTAACTTTTTCCCCACGTGCACGCCAGCAGGCTTTGTTAGTAGAGTTCCATTAAAAGGCAAAATCACTGGAGTTAAATGGGGTTTTAATTTGTATCTTCCTGATGGCTAAGGATCCTGTTAATCATTTGAGTCTGTTCTTTTTTAAGTTTTTTTTTTTAATTGGAAAGTCAGATATGCAGAAAAGAAGAGAGACAGAGAAAAAATCGTACAACTTGTAATTCAATCCCCAATGGCCACAATGCTGGAGCTGAGCTGATCCAATGCCAGGAGCCCAGAGTCTCCTCTGGATCTCCCACATGCACTCAAGATCCCATGGCTATGGGCCATCCTCAATTGCTTTCCCAGGACATAGAGAGCTATGCTGTTATGCTGGGACCACCAACCTACATATTTAAGCTGTAAGTTCAATAACTATTAGTTGGTTTTCTTTTATTTTATAGAACATATGGTTTAGATTTTTTCTGCAGTAATATGTGTCCCCTTTTTGTTATCTTGGCATACCAAGGTATTGTTAGTACTGTAAAAGGATGCTCCTCATCCCAGACCCATTAAATCAAAAGCACTTGATGTTGGGCCTTGTAACCTTTGTTCTATGCACTTTCAAGTGGATTCTGATGCAGATAAAAAGTAGAGATTCTCTTGATTCTACTGTTGAAGAGAGAATTGATCATTTTTCTTTACAGCATTAACTTTCAGATATTGGGAAAAATGTCTAGCTTTTCCACATTTATCTGAAATAGTTGAATTAGTAAACCTATAACGCTGGGTAGGATATTGCATTGAATTTCACAAATAAAAGCATCAAACCTGGAATTTTGAAAGCAGATAACTTATTATAACCAATGTGTCAATAATACTTATACTTGATCTTAGTCAAAAGGCTGAGAAATGATCATCAGTAATACTTATAGCATATTGCGTAAAGTTATTAGTGAATCCAGAATTTTCTGATCATGTTACTTTTACATAATTAAACATTACACTAACTGAAATAAGTCACTTCATCTCTCGCTGTCATTACCTACAGAAAAGTGATGTCAACAAAAGTTTCCAAATGCAAAATTCTGTGACTCACTCATTCATCAGTTTAATATTAGAGGCATTAGTATTTTAGCCTTACAAAGATTAAATTTTTTAAATTGTTTTTAAAATGATAGATCAGATTGCTATAACATGTTCACCTTGATGTTTAGCACTCCATGCACATATCACTTATAAATAATTCCTTTCATGATTCCATCTTAATTTAAATCTCTTTAAGGAACACAAACAGGTTTTACTTTCACAGATAAACGTAATATTTTTGTGGTCACCTTCTTTGATGTTCGTATTCAACCAAGCATACAAATTTTCTGGCTCATGATAAGTCCCAACTGTTAAAAAAAACCCTGCCCAGGAGATTGTATAAATAAAGCCAATCGCTGTTTCCTTACTTCAAAACATCTGACTTTGCCAAAGAAGTTCTATTTCCATATTGTCAGCACTTAAAAAAAAAACCCTTCTACCATGAAGATTTATCTTTTTTTCTTTATTCTACTCTTATCACTCACAATTTTGCCAGGTAACATACAAATATTTATGGGATTATTTTATTAGTCATTATAAGAAACAACTGCTTTTATTGATTGTAATATGATAATGGCATAGAAATGATAAAGCTGTGGCATTAAATATGTAATACCTTGGACCCTGAAATAGAAAAAATAATCTTGTGTAACTGGTATGTAATAAATAAAATGTAGTATTTACATCAGTAGAATTTCTCAGTTTAGATTAGCATCACATGGTTATTCAAAGTGCCAGGTATGGGGGATATTGTGTATTATCATTGCATCTTCTGTTAATCTAAAATTGGAATTAAAAAATGAGATAATAATGAAGTGTTAAAGTGTAAATTGATCAATATTATAGATATTTCTGAGTATTTTCTATATTGCATGGAAATTACATCCATCATTGCCCTTTCTTCAAATTTATCTTATCATTAACTGTCTTTGAATGCTACAGATTGCATGAATGTTGAATTTTACCCTCTACACAAGCTGTGCTTTTGATGTAATTTCCCCCTTTTCAAGAACTATCCCTATATGGAAGGCATACAACAAGATTCTCTTTGCTGAGTTAATGTGTAAGCATCGATTTCACAGAAATTTAGAAACCAACAGGTCTACCACCTTCCTCTGCAATACCTAGTAATGAACTAATGAGCTCAAATCTGGACGTTTCTGATGGCACCAAAGAAATCCAAGTCTTGTTCAGTGATTATCAAGCAATAACTCTTTTCAGTATTTGGATTATTTTTCTAGGCTTCCCAGAAATAAAAATAGAGGGTCAGGAGAATTAATTATTTTGTCTTTTTCCTGTGAGTATTACAGAGTTCATCATAATTATCTAATTATCCACACATAATACATTTTAAAAATAACCATTTAAAACTTATGAATGGATAAATTCCATATTGTGGCCAAGCATTCAGCAATAAAATAAATAAAGTATTAACAGCTCAGGGTGACCAACATAAGAGTCATATGCTCCAAGAGAACACCAGCTTTGTGAATCCATCTCAAAATATCCTGTAAGTTTTGTGTGACTTGATGAAACAGAATTAAGCAATGTTTTGTGCAATCATTTGATAAAGATAAGGATGCATTTATTTCCTCCAAGTTAGAAGAAATCAACAGTCAGAATAGAGATCTCAATGGATAGTTCATCCATATTTAACAATTGAGGTAAGTCAATAAAATAAGATAGATTTAAATATTATTTTTAATACATTTTATTTTCAGTGTTCTGGCTGTTGAAGTTTCCAACCTAAAATTGAGAGAAAATTTTAATTGTTCCTACTAAAAAAAATTCAATTGAAATATGTCTAGATAAAATTCCTATATATCTGTATCAAGAAAGGTCCATTCAAGTGACAACTTTGTTCATTGTCTAGAGTACAGAAAGTCTAGAAGAGAGTTTTGTATCATAAATCTGTTCCTTTCTTTTTCCCTGAAAAGTTGGAAAAAATTATTTTTCCAATGTCACATTTTTTAAATCTTACATTTATTTTGAATCTAGAATAGTATAGTTTCTTAATGAGAAGTAAAGCTGATTTTACCCATGACTCCAGGGAGATCGATGGAGCCCAAAAAACAAAGAAGCAAGTTGTGAAAATAAAAAGGAATTGTATGTTGACGATTTGTTTGGAGGAAGTTTTGCCCAGTGTATACCAACAGCTGATGCAGATAGCATGCCAGTAAGTGGTGGGTGATTGTAGTAATAAAATCTTACAAAAGTTGATGGAAGACTGAAATTGGTATGCTGTCTACAGGTTTTTGATTCTCAATGAAGATTATTAAGATACAACTATTGATTGTAAGAAATTATCTTTTAATCACTACCATTTCAGAAACTGTGGTGGAAATGGAAAAAAAAATGTAGCTCTAGAAATTTTAAAAAACATTTATTTGTTCATTAGTGTCTGAGACACTCTGCTTTTTAACAGCTCCTTTTTTAATTTCTTTATGTCATTTTTTATTGCAATCAATGCTATCATCAGGCTTGTATCTAAATTTGATCATCTCTTGGGGGGTGGAATTTAAAAACATTGAGAGTAGTTGGGAAAATTTTGAAAAATTGCAAACACACAACATTTTAGTTATGTAGTATCAAGATGTAGGAAAATCGATGACAAATTGATAAAGCATAATGCTTATTGGATATAAAACAGAATAGGAACAGCCGGATGGAACCTAATAGCTGTAAAGATAACTTGTGTTTACTCTTTTACTGTAGACATTGGAAACATTTCCGTAAATAAGTGTTCAATCACTTGTAAGACTACAGTTTGAAAATGCACTTTAGGTCAAAAACAATTTATGATCTTAGGATTGGTTTTGTACGAAATGGTAGGAAATTCACCTAAACTCTATGTTGTAGGCAAATATTTTCACTCTTTTCCTTCTTGGAATTTCTCCTTTTGTGACATGGGCATGGTACTGTCAGGATGTTAACTCTAGTCATTTTGTCCTCCTTACAGCCAAAAGGAAATACCCCCACTATGGTAGCTTGGATTTGACAAGAGAGTGCATAGATGGTAACGGTCGATGTAGAACCTTTTGCCCTGAATTTGAAGTTAGAATTGCTTACTGCATCAGGCCTGGAACTCATTGCTGCCTTCAGACATAAGGACGAGAGAAGAAAAGACACACACGCTCCAAGAGAAGATAAGTGTTACTGTCTTTTCAGCATATCCGTCAAGGCCTGTGTGTCTCCCCAAAGTTCAGAAGTCCACATAAAATATGATTTTGAATCATTTAGAAAAGATTCTGTCTCTGTAAATCAATTATAAAAATAATTTGCTTCCTTGAGGAAATCTTTCAAATGCGTTTGATATGTGATATCAAGACTAAAATTACTCCAGGAGCACCTTTGGTGAAGTTCTGCAAATTGTTCCCTTAAAGAGATTATTTGTTACAAACTATACTGTCTCAGCAATCTAACATGCATCCAATCTTATAGTTTATTAACAAAACAAAAGGAAATACCAAAAAATGAGCATTTGCCTGTCTTATTAATATACTGTTTTTATTTATAGATACATACATGCACATTTATAATATGTATAAATATAATAGCAAAGTAAATGTCAATAAAATTTTTTAAATAAACGACTTTATTAAAGAGATATATAGAGAGAAAGAAAATGAGAGATTCTTCCATCTGCTGGTTCATTGCCCAGTTGGGCCAAAACTAAGCTAGGAACAAAAATATCCTTCAGGTCTCCCATGAGGGCAGCAGGAGCCCACGTATTTAGACCATCTCCCCTGCCTTTCTCAGGCCATTAGCTGGAAGCTGGATTAGAAACGGACAGCTCTTGAGCACACAGAAATATAGAAGGCCTGCACTGCACTGCACCACAATGATCCTCTGCATCACAAAGCTGGCTGGAGTGTAGTGTCTTTAAAAAATTATATTATTGTTCTTATTTGGCAGTAGGCAGGGAGATAGGGAAACAGAGACACGAAGACAGCTCCTCTCTGATAATGGACTTCTCAAATGCCCACAATTAGGGCTGGGGAAAACCAGGTTGGGAATCAGCAACTCCGTGTTTATCTCCCATGTTGTGACTCCCATGTCTCTGCTTTGGTTTCAGTACTTGAGAATAAACTGCCCCTGCTAATTTGTGCAATAACAGGAAGATTCAAACTAGCTGAACAGCATTCTGACCATGGTATTTTAGTAGTGATTGTGGCTGTCTTAACCACTACACCAAACAGCCTCTCCATGCTAGAAAATTTTTAATTTTAAATTAAACTGGTCACTTTTTAAATGTTAAGGTTTTATACTTTGTATGCTTTGACCACAAATACCCACATAAAGTTGTATGTGACTCTATTTTCATTTTTGTTCTAGTTTCTGAGAATATTTTGATGTTGCTGTTGTTAAGATATGTTGTATTAATTTGAATCATAGAGTGACAAAGAGAAAGAAACCTTTTAATCACTGATTCACTCTATGTGTTCAAATGTTCTAGGCTCAGTAAGACCAAAGCCAGGAGCCAGGAACTCCATCTACATCTCCAGGGGAGGTGGATATGGTATACACACCTGGGTCCTTATCCACTGCTCCCTATGCACATTAGAGTAGGAGCTCAATTGGAACCAGAACAGCAAACTCAAACTAGCATTCTGATTGGATGCAGGCATCACAGGTGGCAGGTTCACCCACTAATGTCACAATGCCAACTCCTTCCATGGGTCTCCACTAGCAGAAACTCTGATGCAATAATGAACATCTTGTCTGATACTTGGTAGTTTATGTAGATGTGAATTGGTCAATAAGAATTATGTTAAAATGAGAGTTTTATCACCACCAAATTTTAGCACTGAGTAGGAGAAGGATTAGAATCCTACCTGACATCACCCTTTCTAAGCCAATCTATTTCAAGATTTGCTTCACCTCAACGTCCTTGCATAATCACAAAATCTAATTGTAATTAGAACTTGATTCTGCCAACATCATTAAAGACTCACTTCTTCCTAGTAATGTCATAGTGTTGAATGCAGAGAGCAAGTATTATAGCACCTCTGTTAAGAAACTGATATTGATGGATCACAAACTGAACTTAATGTAACATACACTGCAACTGAGCTCAAAAATGAGCAAGATAGGGACTCTTCTACCAGGGCAATCAATTGCAGTTTCTAATATGGATAACACAAATGTTAAACACTGTATTCCTTCACTTGTTTAACAATTCAATAAAAGTCACTGACCATCAACTTATGTATCAGTGTTAGAGGAGTTATTATTGTAAGACATCAACAAATAAGATGGATATGATTCATATGTCTGTGATGTCTACAGATGCCTGCATAGTTGCTAGAGAGCAAATATAAGCAACTTTTATATGCATTATTGAAGAAAATGTTAAGTATTACAGAAACAATATAAAAACAGGATGGGAGAGTCAAAAATGCTGTGAGCCATAGAAAATCTAAATATGATTTTCTACGAGTGTCTGCTGAGAAGTAACATTTAAGCAGAATGGAAAGGAAAGGTTGTGGCAGCATTCTTGAATTCCTTCCAGTGAGCAATGCTTGAGGGGCAAGAGCTGCTAGAAAAATATGGTCCAGAAGCGAGATCCAGTGAGGAGGCAGAGAGGAAATGTGCAGAGTGTCTATGAGTTTTTAAGAACTTGAGGATATCTTGACTTACTCTAGGAAGAAGTTAAGTAGGATTAACCAAAAGAGATTCATTATTTGAATGGTCTTTATAAAATCCCGTGCACAATGTTCCAACAAGTTATGAAGCAAACACTTGGGGGCTTAAGGACTTGTGCTATCCTCTGCAGCTTTCCCAGACCATAGGTAGAGAGCTGGATTAGGGACAGAACATCTGGAACACAAGTCAGCACCATTATGCAGGGGGAGAACTAGCCTGTTGAATCACACCAGTCTAAATCACATAGTTTTTTGGGACAAAATCACTTGGTTTCCACCATACTTTATTTCTCAGTAGGCTAACCTCCTCACTGCTCCCCAATTCCTGAAATTTCCAAACTTGGATGCTTTGCATTCAGAAGCATTTCCTAGATTCACTTTCTGACTTGGTTTTCAAGTTCTACTAGATTATAATTCAATTCTGCAAAGAGTTCCTGCTACAAAAATGCTCTGTTCTATCCCCGTTAAAGAGAAATATTTGAAACGTCCTCAGTTCTAGCATTGCTTTCCTGTAACATTCAGCTCCTCAAGTTTTTGGGGCCATTTACAACTGCTTCAAGATTGGTTTATCAGTGTTTTAAGAATGCATGTTCAAATTACTTCAATAATGTTAAAATGCCACACCATTCTAAATAGGTCACAGATTCCTTGAAAATATTGTGGATAGATAGAGATCGAGCGATAGATATTTTTCTTACAAACCTTTCCCTGAAACTCCTTATAAATATGCTATTGACTCATCAAGATAAAACTCAAGTTCCCTTCAGTAAATCTATTTCAGTTCAATGTACCCGACTGCCTTTTCTATATCCTCCGAAGTTGGTGTCCTAATAGATTAAATGGAAAAATCATGCCTATTTCACAAGATTGCTAATTAATTACTATACGTTTTCTATTAAAAAATCTGAAATCAAGGGAATACTTCATTACCCCATTTGAAGTACTAGTTATAACAGCAGTAGTTACTGTAATGAAATGTAAAAATTAAAAGTAAACTTTTTCTAGGAAGATCTTTCGCCTCTGTTCTGTGTTGCAAGTACTTATTTTTGTGTTTGAATACTTATTTATATTCCAGAATTGCATTTACAAGTGATATGATTTTATTTTCCGAATCAATGTCATAATTTTCTAATCTTTTCTGAGGGCAAGTATACTTATATTTCTATTCGTTTTTCCCTATCTCCCAAACATAATACTGAATACATTGGTACAAAATCCATGAAATGGATAAGAAGGCAGGATATTCTTTCCTTTTTACAGCGAATGTGAGGAAAAGATAGTATGTTGAGAAAGGGTCATTTTAAACAGCTACAAATATATAATCACTCATACTAATGAAATACTTCATGAATTATAGTATGAAATATTCCTACGTTGAATACCTCATTTGAATGGCACACAAGCCTATGAAATGGGAGATCCTTATTCAATATGTTTCATGGTCGAGGAAACTATCAAAAGGCTTAAAGTTGGCAAAGGGAATAACTAAAGGAAAGCTTATCATGGAACTGAAATAATTTTGCATTATTTATCATATATATGGGTCCTGGATAACATACTCACCCATCCAATCACATTGCTCAGTCATATGTCATGCTTATTGAGAATGTAAATGTAACTATTTTCTTATATGTTGAAATATATCAGTGATTAAGGCAAACATTTAGCCTGATATATTGTAACTTTAAATATTGTATATAGAGAGATCAAAGCCATTGGTTTTAGCAATGCCTAACTTTGGGATAGGTTTTTGTGTGACTCTGAAAGGGAAATGAAGACAAAACAAATTAGAATTGGCTGTATTTGAACACTTGGTAGTTTTTTTTTAACACTAGAAGGACCATTATATATTTTATCTCATTATGCCATTTTCAAATTTCACTGAACCCTCAATTAAATGTGGAAGCTGAATCATCATCAGTTCAATCATTTATGTAGCTTGGGATGGATGATAAATAGAATAACCACTATTGAAAGTACCCACTGTTTGATTTGGAGAGATCACATCCTCTAGAACTTCCAGCTGTATGGAAGTTGACGCTAACTTGACGCTCACCTGGCTTTCAAATTCAAAGCGGGGGAGGCAGATATCCTTCCAGTCATTTTAGCAACGGGTTGTTATTCATTGTTGTATTTGGATTTCTGTTGCTATTTTACTGAGATTTTCTACATTTCTTGTTCCTACCTTATTTTAAACTCTGCTTGTGTCTATCTGGCAGTATTATGAATCTAATTCTGGAGGTTTAAGAAACAAATGGTTTGTTACAAAGGTTGGAGATACATGCCAGACTTTTCTCACAAGAGAAGGGCCACTCACAGCAGAGATGTCATTTGCTATTAGAGGGAATTGCTGCATGCAGCTTACATGACCAAAACCTCCTGGCAATCTTTTTACATTAGTTTACTTATCTTTTCTATCCACTTCATTAAAAACAACAAATTTGGTACACTACAAGATTTCTCTACTTCCTATGCAATTTTGAACCTATTTCTCAGAGAATACTCTATGCACAAAGAAACGCGTGCCACTTTAAGCTAAAGACAATTAACTTTATAAATGTCAGTTGATTATATTCTGTGTAATTCAAAGAATAGACCTGTTATGATTTGAAGCCATATTTGTTATAATTTATCATAAAAACTTCAATGAAGTTTTTTTTGTATACCCAATCACAGCATTAAATATTTGAAATATTTTGATAGCTGTTTTTATTGTGTTATGTCAGACAGATAGGAAAAATGATGGCCCCAGATAAACTACATGCACTGATCAAATTTGGAAGATAGGAATGTCTATCCCAAAGGTTTTTTTTTTCCTGTTCTAAGGACATGCTTAATCACATTTGAATCATTGGAAAATAAAATCCTATAATAACAACTTTTGTTATCAGTTACTTTTGTTTTATTAATGAATACAAAAACCCTGTTTTGGAACCTCAGAACAACTTTTCAATGTGTTTGATTGTTCACAAAAATCTAGAAGATTTATAATGGGCTTCACTTAACTGGCAAAGTAATATACAACAAAACTCTGTGTGTGTGCGTGTGTGTGTGTGTGTATACAGCTAAAGCATGTTAGCTTTCTGAATAAATGACTCAATTAGTAAGGATTTGCATGGCCATCATGTTTTAATCATCAGGATACACTAAGAGAGAATTATAGGAAATAATAGCAAACATACAGAGATTTATATTTTGAATGCGAACATGTAACTCAAATAACAAATTATCAAACTTACCTATTGGTTGAAAGATATCTTTATATGTTTTATCAGACTGAAAGAAAGGATTAAGAGTAAGATCTAGTATGGAGAACAAATCATTTAGTAAAGGATACATTTAACATGCCACAAGATTAAGTCTAAAATCAAAAACTAACAAAAATTAAATTGAAGGTTATTAGGGAAATATAGTAATTATCTTAATAAGATATGGGAAAATAAGACTGACCTTCATAGATTGATAAAGGAGAGCATGGTAAGAGCCCCCACCCAGGAGCGTGCTGAGGCGCACTTTTAGTGTGAACTACAGGAAAAACTCACACACATTTTGTGCTTGTAAAAGACTTTTTAGCTTTGTTGCTTTCTTAGCCAGTAAACGGTGCTTTAATGTAACCAGATGTTCTACACTCTCCAGCTTGCACACGTCTTATCTCGCATTCAGAATAGATTTTGTCTCTTCTTAGGAAAATGGCATTCTGATGGATAATGGACTGATAACTTAAGGTATCACTCTTGATTACAGCAGGAAGTAATTTGTCACCAAAGTACAGATTTGAAAGATGTCAAAAAGTGAAAGGAATATGCAAACCATTTTGTGACGATGTTGAGTATGATTATGGATACTGCATTAAATGGAGAAACCAGTGCTGCATATAAACCCTGGAATGCGGAAGTCACATTGAGCATCAAACCTGGAGCAGAGATGCATCTTACTCAAGAGTAGATAAAAACAAAGTGCTTATAAGCTTTAACGGTAATATGATGTGAAATCATAAATATGTCTACTTATGTACCAAGACATTTAGTCTATTATGTTCACTGGGCATTTTTGAATTTTAGAAGAATGAATAATTAATGTAGCAATAGACATATTTCTGTAATTGATACTTTTCAACCCGGTCCTTCCTATGCCACTCTAGGATAGTCTGTGCCCTATCGAAATATTTTTATGCAAGTCTATTCCCAGCTTACTCTGAGGAGCACAGCTACCTTCGCTAAATAACTCCCTTCCCCATCATTCTCTCTTGCGCGCGTTTTTTTTTTTTTAACAGAAAACGCTCATGGTGTTCTTTCCAAAACTTTACTATTGAATTTTGGGAGAGACTAAAATGGTTATATTTTTGAGATGACATACTTTTAATATTTAAATTTTTTCATGATCATTTCCATAGGCACAGAAACTTTTTTGTTTTTCCTTCTACCTCCATGGTTTTCCTTGGTATTACTATGATGCTATAGACCTTCAGCAGCAGTTACAATTCCAACATTCTGATATAGACATTTATCATGGCATTGATGATGATATAGATAAAAGCATAAAATCCTTGATTCTATTGAACTGATTTAATTTTAATGATGTTCTCCCAGCAAATTAATTATATATTATTAATAGTTACAACACAAAAAAGTTTAAATGAAGTTTGACATATGGAATATGTGGTTTAAAGGAAATCACAGAGGAAACTCACTAGTAGGTACCTTATGCTACTAGCATAAAAGAAGTGACTACTGAACAGATCAGTGTTTGGCCCTTAGAGAATAAGAAAGAGGGGAGAGAATGGGACAGAATGGGACAGAATGGGACAGAAAGAGAGAGAGAGAGAAGAGAGAGAACTTTGCCCCCTCGTCATGGTTCACTCCTCAAAAGCTCCCAACAGCTGGGGCTGAGCTAAGCTGAGGTCATGAATCAAGAAACTCACTGTAGGCTTCCACAGAGATGGTAGTGACCCTAATAAGTAACGTATCACCTGCTGCCCCTCAGTGTGGGCATAGAGGAAGTTGAATTAGGAGCAGATGAGGGATTCAAACCCAGGCACTATGATATGGGAAACACAAAGTAGCACCTCACCCACAGTACCACAATGCGCTTCACATCCTGTCTTACTTAAATATCTACAGAATATCCGTGGCTTTTCATCTTGGACAGCAAAGCCTGAGAAACTGTCCTTAACAGAGAACATTTATAAAACTCAACTTAGAAAAAGAAAAATACTCAAAGCTTTAAGAATACAGAAAAAAAATCCTTAAAGCAACAATCTTAGCATTACTTGAGAATTTGCTAAACTTGCAATTTTATATGGCTCAGAAACATTGAATCAGAATTTTGTGTGTTAGGGCCCTGTACTCTTTACTTAACCTGCCTTCTCTTTGGTTATATTGGACAAAAATCTTAGATATTCAATATTTAGAAACGCTCTTAACAGTTTGAATGCCTGAACTATAGTTATATTGCCGTATTTTTTTTTTAACTTAAGATCACATTTTGAAGACACCTTGGCAATATTAACAAAATGTACTCAGAAAGGAGAAGAAAGAGGGGCAGTCAAATGATTCTTTAAAATGCCTATGGCCTGGGCCCATCACTGTAGTCTAGTGGCTAAAGCCCTTGTCTTACATGCATCAGGTTCCTCTATGGGCTCCAGTTTGTGTCCAGGATGCTCCACTTCCTTTCATGGCTCCACTTGCCCCCTCCCCCCGCCCCATTGCGGAGTGTACCAGCAGACAGGAAACGTTGCTTTCTGTCTCTCTTTCTCTTTGTCCAGCTGACTCTCCAACAAAAATTAATTAATTTTAAAAAAAAGGATATGGACCCCCCAAACTGTAAAATGACTAAATAAATTCAAATCCATTTTCCTTATAATTATTAGTAATATTTCATTATATAAATTAAGTAGAACTAATTTTGATCACTGTGAGTTTTTCTATTCATTTTAGATATCATCCCAATGATTCTGAAAAACGCAAGTTCTAGTTCCAAATTCAAAAGCCAAGAAATAATATTATTTAATCCCAATTGGGAGTTATAGGTATCCAAATGGATGTATAACTGCAAATTTTTAATTTGTACATTACAGAGATAACTTTTTATCTCAAAACTGTTAGTGTAGCTTTAAAGAAAAATTCTCCCATTTTACAATCATGTTTCAGACTTCATATCATTGACCAAAATCACAGTTCAAATAAGCAAAAAAAAAAAAAAAAAAAACTTTACAGGTACCTGGTTGCAGGAGTGTGGCAAAGATTTTCTGTCATGAACATCCTGAAATTATATATATTTCCCTATTTATTATGTTGCTACATTCAGTGGAATGAGATAGTAACACATGGTACACAAGGGAAGAAGCCAAAATCTATAAGGCAGATGTTAACCTATTGTAGGAGGCGATGAGGAAAGTATAACCACATAGAGCAATAAGCACAACATTTATCACATCTATGTAGTTAACACCATCATTGTTGCATTATTGCCTGGGACATTAAAAACAAACATTGCTTGGGATAGTGACAAGAAATTTTGCACTTGCCACAATAAAAATATGGAGGAAGATAAGAGTATGGATACCTCTTTTGAAAATCTTGAAAAATGTGTTACGAAAATAGGTCAGGAGAGGGGAAATATTTTTGCAACGATAATGGCAGAAACAGAAGAATGGAACAGGAGGGATCCCTCCTCTGTCTAGAGAGAAAGTTCAGAATCACTGAAAGAGCAGTGAAACCCAAAGTCATGAGCACACAGAAGAGTCCTAAGGTAAAGACAGAGGGTAATGAAGGTCGACCAGCAGCTTCAATGGAAAACATAAGATGATCAAAGAAAATGCAGCAGATACTGCCAGACTGTGCAGGAGACAGGGGAGACGCATAGATCGACTGTCCAAAATGTAGGGATCAGGGAAAATGATCAGGGATTATGATTGGGGAAAGTCTATTCAATCACTCACCCACATTGTGTTTGCTATATTGTCACAGGCAGATGTGCAACTTGAGAATACACCTTTAAACCACATTACAAATATTTGAAAAAGGAAACCTGGAGATTCAGAAAGCACTTCTAGAGAATTATTAACAATCTTAGTGTTGTTAAAATTAACCATCCTTGTACAATAGCATGCGACATGTCTTTACTGTTTAAAGTAGCATAATAAGGGTTTCTTTAGTTATAATCCTTTTAAATGGCATGTAGTTTCAATGGGGTTCTAAAATTTGGAAAATACAGCTGTGGATGATGTATGAATGTATCCTGAATGCTCTCTGAATGTGTGCAATGTATGAACACATCCTGAATTCTGCAGAGCTTCATACTTACAATCTCATTGATTTTCACTCCATGAAGCTCCACCTGCCATGGAAATTCATATTTCTGACATTTTTTTCTTCAAGTAATTTTACAAAAGGATTGGAATTTTTCTTTTAAGTATACGGGAGATCTTTGCAGTTATTTCTTGGTTAGCATGCATGTTGCAAGTAAATAAAGAGCTAGTAAACTAGCATCACACACACAATTGAAACTGTGAACATTAATCAGTAATCAGTGGTTTTAAGGTTAAGGGAAAATGCTAATCCTTGAACCTTTATCTTTTATCTATAAAGTGAAGTGCAATGTTGAATGAAAGTCACTCAGCTTTATCAATACAAGCAGTAATATTTCTATATTACATTCTCTTATTCAGCGTTTTGTTCCCATTTTGAAGAGAACTCTTTCTCCTCCTAAGTCTGTCTCCTCTGTAAAATGCCCTTCATGTGTCCCTGCATTTTTTCCCAAGTTCAACCACAGCAAACGCAGATAGGGAAGACTGATGAAACAACAGTAGTCACTGCCACAATGCCCTTTGACGTTGTCAGCACAGCCTACTTAGATAATGAACGCTGGCTCTGCATGCTGTGTGCTTCACAAACAAGGAACGTTTACACGCTCAGGTGCATCATCAGGGAACTTGAAGGAGGCGGATCACCTCAAATGCATTCCATATATATTATATTAAAACCTGAACATTTTAACATTCACATTCCAAAAAAGACTGATTCACATTCACAACAGACTTCAGGAAGCCTTTGTTTTTTTTGTTTTGGTTTTTTAAAAAAAGGCATCAGAGCTGCCTCTACTAACCAATCTACTTCTTTTCACTCTCCTTTTCTCTGTCTTCTCTCTTATTGCTTCCTCCAGTAACTTTTCTTGTGAAGCCGTTCTCAAACATTTATTCTCACTACTTTTGTTTGTCAACTCTGTTCATTTCTAATCCACCTAAAACATTCCTAATGAGGGTTTCTATTTTCATTCTTTGGTTAGGTGCCAATATGTTTTCACAATGAAAACATTCCAGGTCCATTTATTGCAGGCATTTAGAAAATGAATAAGTATTAGTAGTCTCTCTCTCTCTCTCTCTCTCCTTCTATTACTCTCATTAAGAAAATAACAAAAAACTAAATTGACACACAGAGGTTGATCATATACAAAATACATGAACTAGGTGCTTAATGCACAATTATAATTCTAGCTTTAAAATTGAACCAGAGTTAAGGAGGACATATATATCATGGTGAATAATATCTTATTTTTCAAATATACTCTGTTTTCAAAATTAAAATTCTAAACTATGATCATCATATTAATCACATTGAGATGGCTCATTCAGTATGTAGTATCACAAGATACCATTTCCCTTCAAATCACAAAGTTAAGACAGCACAAATACTAGGAAATATTAAAAACAATGTGTAAAATAAGCATTTTAAACGACTATAAATTGAAACAGGTGTATCTTTTTTTTTGAAAGATTTATGTTTATTATTTTTTTATTGGAAAGGCAGATATACAGAGAGGAAAGACAGAGAGGAAGATCTTCCGTCCAATGATTCACTCCCCAAGTGAGCGCAATGGC